TGAGATGGGACAGACTGAGGGAGTTACTCACTTCCAAAGGCTTCTCCAGGATCCACTGTGGATGTTGATGATAGTGATGATGATGATGATGATGATGATGATGATGATGATGATGATGATGCACAGCCACTGAAATGGGTGAAGGGATGACTGAGGGGGCTATGATCAGAGCACAGACTGACATGGAGCTAAACTGCACTTCAAAGATAGCACGTGGAGTCTAAAAATATCAGGGTTTAAATAGGAAATTTCTACCTCCTGGCTATTGAACAGCTTGGCTGAAGCCTGGACAAAGGTGCTGATAGTCTTAGCTTTGTTAAACCTAGGTGTGAGAATAGTCTAAACAATGCATTTGGTTTTGAGACTCTCAAGGAAGGGAGGCTAGAGAAAAGGGTGCAGTCAAATCTAATCACTGCCCCATTAAGTGTGAGACTCAAGACAAATAAGCACTATTATGTGTCTTTTCCAGTATAATGGTTTTTCCCTTTTGGCAACTCCCAAACCTGTCTGGTCCTGGGCAGATCTCTCAGTGCCTACATGACCTGCCATCTAGGGAATTATGGCTAACATCCCACAGAGGTCAGTCTGGGGTCATAGAGGGAACTCCACGTGTGTCCAAATCACATATGCTAACAAGTGTTGTGAATGGTTCAGTGAACTGTTGTATGCTTTGACATTTTTAAAGCATTAAACAAACAGTGTTTGCACATTTAGGCTTTATGCTTTTTTGGCATAGGGCTAGGGAAGGAGACAATGAGTAGAACAGTGATCCAGCTCATTCTCATCATGTGGGGAAGAATATCACTGAGTAATTGCTTCACAATATTAAGATTTATTTATTTATTTATTACACAAAATATGTTCCACCAAACTAACCAAACCAAATCTAACACAATATTTTAAGGATTAATGTATACTCTCTGAAAAATTGATTAGTAAAGCTTTTTAAAAAAAATTATACTATTTCAGCTAGCACTGACTTATTATGTGCCTTCAATTTCAAAAGAAAATCAGCATTTGTTTTATAGACTATAGCAAAACCTTTGAATGCATATATCATGAAAAGCTATGGATGGCTCTTAAAGACATGGAAGTGCCATGACACCTGATAGTCCTGATGATAAACCTGTACTTCAGACAAGAGGCTACTGTTAGAACAGAATTGGTCCCCAATTGGCAAAGGGGTCAGACAAGGGAGCATTCTATCACCCTACTTGTTCAATTTATATGCAAGAAGCATCATAACAATAACTTAGAAGAAGGAGGAGTTAAGATAGGATGAAGGAATGTCAACAATCTTAGATATGCAGATGACACTAATGGAAAACATCACAGATTTGGAACAATTACTAAATATGGTCAAAGGTGAAAGTGTAAAAGCAGGCTTAATGCTGAACATAACAAAAACAAAAATAATACATAAATTAAATCTAGTCACTGAAGAAATTGAAACAGTTAAAAAATTCTTGTACCTAGGATCAAACATCAATCAGAATGGGGACTGTAGCCAAGAAATAAGAAGCAGAATTGGAAGAGCAGCTATGAAAGAACTACAGAAGATCCTAAAGAGTAAAGATATATAACTGCACACTAAAGTCAGAATTGTCTAATCCATAGTATTCCCCATCACCATATATCGATGTGAGAGCTGGACAGTGAAGAAAATGGATAGGAAATTAGTCAACTCATTTGAGATGTGGTGCTGGAGAAACATGTTGAGAACACCATGGACAGCAAAAAAGACAAACAAATGGGTGCTAGAACAGATCAAGCCAAAATTCTCTCTGGAAGCCAATATAACGAAACTGAGGCTATCGTATTTTGGCCACAGCATGAGAAGGCATGAGTCACTCAAAAAGACATTAATGCTTATAAAGGTAGAGAGCAGTAGAAAGAGAGGTAGACCACATACCAGATGGATAGACTCAATCAGGGAGGTCAAGGGGGTATATCTACAGGAATTGAGCCGAACAATGGAGGATGGGGGTCTTGGAGATGTCTCATCTACAGGGTTGCCATGAGTAGGGGTCAAATTTATCCATGTGGCCTGAATACTGTGAAGGTACCAGACCCTGTCCAGTCTTGGAAACTAAGCAAGGTCATGCCTGGTTAGAACTTGGATGTGGGACCATCAAGCAATACTAGATATTGTAGGGTAGATTTCAGGGGGAGGCAATGGCAAATCACATCTGTGTATTCTTTGCCTAAGAAAATCCTATGAAAACCCAAAGCTGACAGGACACACACACACACCACAGGGATTTCTTTAGAAATTAACCAGAAATATTTAGTCGTCCAAAACCAGGCAGCTAGCTTGTTAATTGGGAATGTTTCTCAGCCCAGTTGAAAGCTTCAAAGCCCTAAATGGTTTTCAGACACATTCGTTGGGTGTCCCCTCTATTCCTGTTTTGACCTATCAGAAGCCCTCCAAATGCCCCAGCAAATGAAACCAAGAAGGTGGATGTAGCAGGCGCCACCACCTTTTCAGTGGTGCTTATGTTCTCCCTTCCCAGAGAAGATTGTTTGGTATCCACAGTATGGTTTGCTGCTATGTGAAGACCTTTTCCCTTCAAAGAACTCTTTTTCATATTTTTAGATTTACCAGTCTTACAGCTTGATACAAGTTTTATTTGGATTTTATATGATGTAGTGTTTTAATTCTTTGTTGCTGGTTTTATTTTGATTTCATTATATACTGTTTGTAGCCACTGTTTTATATACTGTACACCCCTTTCAGAGAAATCTAGTTGGGTTGTCCAAAATGTTTGAGAAATAAAAAATAATAATAATGTAGTGTAATGTAATATATAAATAACCTGACTATTTTATTTTTCAGCAACCTTATATCTATATGTGATATGATTATTTCTTATCCTTTGAGCAATCAGAAATAGAGCATAAATTAATGATTTAAAACAGGGGTAGGCAACCTTTCCCCTTTAAGGGCCGAGGGACTTCAGCTCCCAGAATTCCAGGAGCTATTGGCCAACATGGGAGTATTGGCCAACATGGCTGAGGCTTCTGGGAGTTGAAGTCCTTCGGCCCTTAAAGGGGAAAGGTTGCCTACCCCTGATTTAAAAGATAGGTTCTATTCTGTATTTATGAATGTCATACCAGGGTAAGAAGAGGCCTGTAACTTACAGAGACTTGTGTACAAGTCTTTACTTCTTGTTTTTAATAGCTCTTTGAATCAGTGATATATAAACTCATTAGTGTACAACACATACTTCAGTCTTAATTATTGTTTTTTGTTTTTTAAGTGTTTTTCATTAGTAGCTGCTTACACATAAGAATGGTTTCAGCAGTTTAAATGAGTAAAGGGTCTGTGGATATAGAAAGATTAACTGAAAGAAAAGCTCCCATGGGAGCAGTATATTTGTTGCATTAACTCAGAGTTGCTATTTCATTCATGTTCGTGAAGTGGAAGATTAATGCCATTTGCGGATCTCTAGGCCATTATCACAAAACATCTAACTGAAATCTTAATCATTGTCTGATAATCCTAAAGATCACTGGAACTGATGTTAGGGCTTTTTTCATCTTTATCACCAGTTCTCTCTTCTTTCATGTGAACAAATTACCAAATATTGAGAAGCTCAGATAATTATAAGCAATTATACAAATGCAGTAGAAAAGTCACAACAGCAGGCTGCAGAAGACTGAACTCCAACTATGTTGTCTTGAGTGGTATTATTGGTATTAAACTGCTGAGATTAATCCCAGCATCATACTCTCCTCTCCATCCTTGTGCTAACTGTGTTCACTCTTGTGATTTCTGTACAACAGCAATGACTACCCAGCAACAAAACTATCTACAACACATACCCCTTCTACTCCAGAAGATCTGGAGCTGGCCCAAGATATTTTGCTGTTTGAGTTTGGGGTGAAGGACAAGATGGTGCTCTATTTTCAGTCTTCATTAATGTTTTGAAATATATATAGTTATAGTTATATTCCTAAAGCCAGTTGTTTATTCCAATGAGAGAAGACCCACTGTACCTCAACTTACCATTCAACAGTAAATTTAATGGCTTCATTTTGTTGCAGCTAGTAGTTAGATTTCAGCTATAGGTCTAAGCTCTTGCACCATTACAGCAGCAATATTTTAAATATTTTTTCATGTTTCCTTAAACCAAGAGTGGCCAGAGTGAGGCCCTAGGGCTGCATCCAGTCCTCAAAGCTGTTTTACAAGACTCAAAACTCCCTGAACTGTCCTTTTTCTGATCATAAAACCTAGTGAATTATATCCTGTGAAAACTTCCAGGGGTTGCACACACTCATATGCTTTGGCTATTTCTCAATTTGTTTTTTCTCTCTGTTGGAGGAATATTTTTGATAATCTGTGCCACCTCGGGGGGTGGGGGGACCCAATGACACAGAATTTGTCTACAGGCCCACTATAGTTGTTCATTCCAAAGACAACTGCTAATTCACTAAATAGCCTTTCTCTCTTATCCAGACATTGATGGTACAAGACAAGGAACCAAAACAAAAACCAAAACCTCTCCTTTCTCATTGATGCCTACAACAGAACACACATGAATGTGCAAATAACTAAAAATTACAGTTGCACAGTGAAAGGAATGAGATTATCCTCTCTGTAAGATGTAATTGTTATGTACTGCATTCATACTTTATGCTGCTTAGTGGTCATACATGAGAGGGTCCCCCAGCCCTCCATAATAGATCTAAGAGTACATGGGGCTACAGGGACAATCCACCTCATGTTTCCCCAAAAATAGTAATTCCTTCAGCAAAAGATATGATAAGATTTCAGTTGTATATTTTGCTACTTTGCAAAAGAATTGACAGACATTTGGGCAATTGTCACTTGTCTGTCACTAATGTCTATCCACCTGTTCATCTAATACAATAATATCAGGTTTTTATTCTGTCTTTCTTCAAGGATGATCTACATAGGACTTTCATTTTATTTTCAAAACAACTCTTCAGATAGGCTGGGAGATAATGACTCCTTCATATTCTACCAGTTAATTTTGTGGCTAAGTAGGGATTTGAACTCATATCTCCTCGATTTAAGCAGAGTATTCTAGCCACTACACCACCCTGTCAAGGATGTTCCACAATAATTGCAGTTGCTCCTACTTAAATATAAAAAGACTGTTTCTGTTTCCATTTCTGTTAGCCACCTTAGCTCTGTTCAGGCATCCAGTATTATTTGGACACTGTATCGTGTGTGTGTGTGTGTGTGTGTGATGGGGACATGAACTGTGGCTCTATCCACAGTTTTCTTGTGTGTATTGGAAAGCATTAAAAGGTAGCTGTGGCTATGTTCACCTGATACAATGGCTATGTGATTGAGAACTCTTTCTTATCCAGGTCACACAGATATGAATATGTGTTTGCATTTTCTCTTCAGAACTTTTCAGTAAACATGGGAAGGCTGATACTGGAGGAAATAGTGCACAGCACACATCTCCATTCCTCTCTACAGATATCATTATCTGAATCTCTGAAAGCCTGTCCCTGAAAGCCTGAATATCTTTCAGCTTTCCTGCTATAGAAAAAGGCTGACAGGAAGAGAATCAACTCATCTGGAATGCAGTGCTTGAGGAAAGTTCTATCAACCCATGGACAGTTTCTGTTTGGGTTTTGTATGGATTAACCAGTAGATTTGCCCCCATGTGATAACGTCCTTAGAATGTTTAAGGAGAATGCTCTTTCTTGTAACTTGAATCCTTTCTTGTAACTTGAGTCTAAAGACTTATCTTCTGGAACAACAAAAGAAGCTTGTTCCATCTTCTACATAACAAGCCTTGCAATATTTAATGATGATTAACATATTACACCTCTGTCTTCTCATCTCCAGGCTAAGCATATCTAACTCCTTCAACCATTTCTCATACACCTTGCTCCTCTTGGCCATCCTCCTCTGAACCTATACCAACTAGCTAATATCCTTTCTGGGAGCCAGTGTAGCATAGTGGTCTCTGTGTTGAAATATACCATGGAGATGAGGGTTTGATTCGCAGTTCAGCCATGAAACCTGTTGGGTAACCTTTGGCAAGCTCTCAGCCTCAGTGAAAGACAATAGCAAACTTCCTCTGAAGAAATCTTGCCAAGAAAACCCCATGATAGGTTTGCCTTAGGGTCAACATAAGTCAGAAATGACTTGAAGTCATATAACAATAAAAATATCCTTCCTAAATTATGGCATCCAGAACTGGACACCAGGTTAAATCTCACCAGAGCAAAATAGAATGTATTACTTCCCATGATCTGGACACTATAACTCTCTTGTTGCAAACTTGGCATTTTTCAGCTGCGACATCATCCTGGTCATTCATGTTTAGCTTGTGGTCTGCTAAGACCCCTAAATCCTTTTTTGCATGTACAGCTGCCAAGCCAGGTGTCACCAAGCCTATTTTTGTGCATCAAAGTTTTTTCTAGTTAAATGTTATTATCTTACATTTATCCTATTTATTTTGCTTATATTTGCCCAAGTCTCCAGTGTGTTCAAGTCATCTTGAATCCATAAAACCCCAGAGAATTTTATCCTCTGGGGATTTAGCTAACACACCTAATTTATGTCATCTGCAAATGTGATGGGCATATCCTATGTTCCTTCATCCAGATGATTTATAAAGATACCAAAAAATAATGGGCTCAGACAAAACCCAGCAGTACCCAACTTGTCATCAAGAATGTCACAGAGGTCCTTATTAAAAAAAAACTTACTCAAATCAAGATACATGGCATTCACAGCATTGCCCGAGTCCACCAAGTTTGTAATGCAGTCAGGAAAAAGAGAGATAAGATTAGTTTGCAAAAACTTGTTTTTGAGAAAGTCATGGTGGTTCCCTCAGCCCAGTTTCTGACAGGTCATCTCTTTTAAGACCTTTCCTGGATAATAATATCAAGCTGATCAATTGGTAGTTCACCCTTTTTGAAGATGGCGGAATGTTTGCCTGCCATCAGCTTGTAGAAATATCACCTGTTCTTGAAGAATTCTCAAAGATTATAGGCAGAGACTCTGAGATAATACCAGCATGTTCCTTTCATATTCTTCAGTTCAGTACATCAGGCTCTAGAGATTTAAATTCATTTAAAGCAGGTAGGTGTTTCCATACCACATCAATACCTACTTTGGACTACAACTTACTCACTACATCATCTACTCCATTTTTACCAGGTTGAGCACTATTTTCCTTTTTTGGAAACACAGAAGCAAAGTAGGTGCTGAACAGTTTCAGTTTCTTTCAGTTACCCATTAAGATTTCATTATCTTCTTTGTGTAGCAGACTTATTTCTTCCTTGTTCCTCTTATTGCTCAAAACAGCCACTCCCCTTCCCTTTTCATTATTTTTAATCTGTCTTGCATGTCTGAGCAACTTCTGAGCACCAACCTTTTTGACCTTCTCTCTACAAACATTAGCTACTTGTTATATTCTTCCTTGATGCTTTGCCCCTTCTTCTATTTCTTATACATTCTAATTCTAATTATGAGCTCATCTGAAAGTATGATGCATCCACTCTGATTTATTTAGATGAATCACATTTTCTTTATGTTTAAGTTTGTGATTGTGCTTTCAGTATCTCACTTTTTAAAAATTCCCATCCCTTATGAACTTACTTCTTCTGACCCTGAGATTTCACCCAGGTTTTCTTAAAATTCAGACTGCATGCTACAGTCAGCTTTTCTTTTTCTCTTTATAAAGACCACCCAAATCTCCCACTATTTACATATCAATTCTTCACTACTGTTGAGAATCAAGTGCAAAGTAGCCAATTCCCTTTGTTGATTCATCCAACTTTTGGAAAAGAAAATTTCCAGAAAGACAAATGAGGAATTGTTGGAACTTACATTTTTATTAGGTTTTTGACAGATATCATCTTGGAGTGGGTCTATACTGGCCAGAATATTTCAGGCTGTTCCCAAAATATTCTGACCCCAGAGCTGCCCCCAATTTCTCCCTGTTATTTCAATACTCCAGAGCAAAGCCAGGTAGCTATTTACACAGCATCCTGTTTTGCCACCTACTACCACCACCACTGGTACAAGTCTCTCCCTCTGAGGACACAATGAGGTCTCCAGCCACATGATTGATACTGGGCACCTCATTTTTTTTACCTTAGATGGAGCAATTTATACCAGTAGCAGTGTGCTAGGTGGCAAAGCAGGTCATATATGTACACAGCTGTCTGTCATTGTTCTGGAGTGAAGAGGTAAAGGGAGAATTTGGGACAGATCTGAGACCACAATACTGGAGAAACACACCGGGGTATTCTGGCCAGTGTAGACTTGTTCTAAATTGATATCTGCTAGAAATCAAACCCTGACAAAAATGTAATCTCCTACAAATTCCTCATTTGTCTTACTTCAAATGTCTTTTTAATCTGGTTTAAGGAAAGGATGACCTAAATTCAATGCAGAACTGGCCTTACATTGTGAAGCCAGTCCGCAGTCAAACAGGGACTCTGGCCCTATCTCCTAAAGACAGGGTGCCATGATGGTGGGGGGAAACAAGTTAATTTGTCCTATGTAGACAGACCTATAGTTGAAGTTTCTCATTATTACTATATCACTCTTTTGTGCATGGTAATCTGTTTTAGGAAGGTATCATTAGGTCTTCTGTCTATCTTGGAAATCAATAGCAGATTCCATAGTGATGTCACAGTTATTTCACTTGCTTTTAATTTTTATTTGAATGCTCTCAACCTGGCTTGTGTATTTCAAGCCATGATATCCTTATTGGTGAACCTTCTGGCCTCCACATATATTAACTTTTGCTATCTGTCTATCCAGCTAGTTAACTCACATCCAGCCAGTCTGAGGTAAATGAAATCTCAACTCTATTCTTGAATTCAGTAGAAACTACTAAAAAGCAAGATAAACAATGTTAAAGCAAGTGGTACGATAAGTGGAAGGAATGTGCCAGGATGAGTGAAGAGTGGAAAGTTGAGATAAAAAAAAAGGAGATGAGAAGACAAGACCCTTCAGGCTGAAGAAAGGAGGATCAAACCACAGAGAGAGAAATCTGTGTGGGACAACCGATCAAACACAACACAAGAAGTCATGCCTCATCATTTGCTCACAGATTCATACACAAACAGCAATGCAGCTATAATTACAACCTAAGGCAAGAAAACATATAACAGAAATACCCTGTTATGGGATAACATTGTAAATAACCTTTACATTGAGGTGTGTAACTGCTGGCAGTTAGGAGACTGTAATGCTCCCCTCTCCCCCACCCTGCCCTGCCCCAACCTGAGACCCTGGACAGGTGAAGTAAATCAAATCCCTTGGGGGATGTGGGGGGAAATTTACTCCCTTTTGGGCTGTTTAGGTGGAAAGATTTTTTTTTTCTAACAGAAGGTGAACTGGAAGTTCATTTCTAAGTCACTTTCTAGAGGTTATGTACTGAGTTCTTAGACAGGAGGGGAGGTAAATGGGAGGGAACCCCATGCAAACCTCAAGTAGGAGAAAAGTTGAAATAAAATGTACAGACTGGGGGGTACTGCTAAATCCCACTACAATGAGCAACAAACTGGACCAAAAATATTTTAGTAATAACTGGATGCAGGAGTGGCAACAACAGCTACCAACCATGAAATTCTAAAACAGAAAACCACAACATATTAGAACTGTTGGGTAGTCTAGAAGATCCCTCAAAATGAAAGAAAGTGTGGGTTTCAACCATTTAAATTAGGGGTGGGCAAAGTGTTGCCCATGGGCTGCACATAGACCTGAGGGCCTTTTGTGGCACCCAGGGCTCTCCATGGGTAAAAACAAATTTCAAAAAAAAAAAGTTTTGCTGCAAATATCCCAACACCACCCACGCAGAGTGTAGAAGTCATTTCTACCAAGTTTTCAGTCCATCTGCCCCCACTATAAGTTTTAAAAGGTGATTTTTTTTCTTCTTCAGAAAAATGTGTATTTGTGTTTTTAAAAAAGTTACTTCTGTTCAATTCCTGATTTTTTAAAGGCCCAGGAAGATCCAAAAACATGGTGAAAATGCCCTCATGCCCTCTGTAGGACATTTGGAGGCAACCCCCCTACTTTTTGTGGAGGTGGATGCAGTGGGTGGTGTGGCCCTCCAAAGTCTCC